GCCAAAGCAGACCTGTTCTCAGGTCTGCTCCCACCTGACGTCGATGCCGTCTCCCAAGTCACCCTCCTTTAGCCTGCTAAGGGCTCGTGGAGGGAGACCTGGCTGGAAGCAGGCAACCTCTGTCCTTAGCGATAGCCCCATCATTTTCATTAGCGCTGTCTCACCTTGCCAGAGGAGAGCCTGCATATGTTTCTGTGAGTCTCCCAGTGAGAGCAGCAGGCAGCGGGGCCAAAGCTCAAGTTATTTTGGGTAAAGATGTTGGACAAGTGCCATTTGAGCCTCAGCCTTGGTATGTTGTGGTACTTGGGGAAAATACAACCCCCTTTGGCAAAGCTTGGGAGTCCATCACCTGCTCTGGACAAGTGCAGAAGCCTCTGGATTTCTGCACATAATTTTCTGTCCTGAAGAGCTAAATAACAATAACAATTGGCTGAATGAAAAGCAGAAGGAAAAGCACGAGTCTTTCATATATCAAGCCAGAGTGATTTCCTGCTTTCAATACTTTAGACGAGGAAACTTCAGATTAATTTCTGGCACTGCCATGCTATGGCTGCAAAGTTCTATTTCACGTCCTGACAGAGTTTTGTTTCATATCCACAAGATGTCCAAATAGAAGGGTATACTATATATGGCTTTTGAATTCACACTGATTTCGTTTCAATTACTATTGGGTTGTCGGAAAAATCATGACGCATTTTTGCAACGAAAAACATAGAAAAAATACGTTATGACTTTTCCGACAGCCCAATATGTTTCAAATACAGGTAGCATTACAAACTGAATGCGTTGCTGCAAAATTTATATGTTGAGGGCCTACCCCTTCCCCCAGTGTGATGATATTTGGAAGTGGGGCCTTTGGGAGGTGATTAGGTTTAGACGAGGTCTCTCTCTCTCTCTCTCTCTCTCTCTCTCTCTCTCTCTCTCTCTCTCTGTCTCAATCTCTCTCTCCCTCCCTCCCTCCATCTGAGATGTGTGCACACAAGGAGAAGGTGGCTGTCTGCAAGCAAGGAAGAGGAGTCTGCTGCCATGTTGATCTTGGACTTCCCAGCTTCCAGAACTGTGAGAAATAAACCTGTGTTGGTTAAGCTATCCAGTCTGTGGTATTTTCTTATCGCAGCCCAGGCTGACGAAGACAGGTGATGTCAGGGCCAGTGGGGCACTTAGGATGCAAAATGTAAGGAAGCACGCACTGCCAGGGTCATGCAGATGGAGGCTCAGCACTCTCCCTGCCCTGAGAGTGCGGGCCTCCTTAAAGTTTGCACCCTCATTTGTCTCATCCTAGTTCCAGCCCGAGGGAGGATACTCTTTACAATCAAAATTAAATGGGCTCAAATAAACAAGACCAAAAAAAAAAAAAGATTGTGCCACTGAGAAGTGCAAGAGGTAGTTCTGGCTTCTGGAATGGTTGTATCTCCAGCTCCAGCTCCAGTCCCACTTTCTCCTTGTTTAGCTTTGTTCTCAGCCAGGCTCTCATTTGCAAAACAAGACGGCTGTGGGCAGCTGTGCATCTCAGGGCTTTCATCTCTTCCACCCAGCGAAGACTTCGATTGGATCTTCTGGCTCACATGTCCATCCTGTGCCAATCCCTGTCCAAGGGTGGCATGTGCTGATTGGCCAGACTTGATCAGATGTCCAGCCTTGTGGTGGGCAAGATAGTGGCCTATCACCACCCACCCCACCAGAATCACTCATTTCCATAAACCCCAAGTGACAGAGATTGGACCTGTTGGCTGAGGTTACTTTCACCTCTGTCAGCCTATAGTTTTATGGGAAAGTGCCACAGAAAAATTTGGAATTTTCTCAGGTAATCCGGGCCTTATAGGTGTGTCAGTACACAGTTTTGTTGAGACGCTTGAGGCTTCAAATGATCATGGTGCCTCCGACAGGACTCCTTTGGTTGCAAGTGACAGAAGACCTCTGTCTGAGCTGGTTTAAGCCAAACGTGATTTTTTTTAGTTTGTGCAATTAAATAGTCTAAGAATGGCTCTGGTGAGGTAGAAAGTGCACAGTACCAATTCTATGTTGTTCTTTCAGAAATAGAGTCATGCCAGGATGGCGAATACAGTCTTCATTGTCCCTTGAAGATAGGTGTGGCCATGAGACAAAATATTAGTCAGTGGAATTCAAGAGAAATGGAGGTTTGCAACATCTGGATGCCATTTTGATTTGGAGGCTGCGTTTCCTCCATGCCCTTCATCCCTCTTCCTGGGCAGAGGCAGTGACTCGACCATTAGCTGGAGACTGAGCTTCCTATCTTCCCAGGACGATCTGCCCACCTGGATTGTTTCATAAAAGAGAAACTCTTATCCAACGTAAGTCATTGAATTTTGGGGTCTAAGTGTTATACCCATTTCCCATGTGCTTAAATAACATAATAGGTTCTGTGGGTGCAGGATAAGGGGGTTTAAACAGTGTCCTCAGGATTCTATTTGCTGCTCTTTCTGTTTCTCCTCTGTGGCCTCCACCCTCGAGGCTCCTGGGCTCCATCCATCTAGACTGCATTTTAGCTATACCCATTGTGAGTCTTTGTCCCAGTATTCTGCAAAAGTAACACAGTTAACTCTTAATCAGACAGCTTAGATCATGTGCCCACTGTCTGAGTCAGTTGGTACGTCTGAAGGAAGGCAGTGTACAAGGCTGCACACCTGTACTGGGAGTAGAGGGGAGATAAATATGCTCAAGGTGAAAATGGTGACCACTGTTGAAAGAAGGGAGTCTGGATGTTGAGGAAGCAAACAGAAATAGATGCTACAAGTAAAAAGTTCTAAGGGTTGAAAGTTGAGTTAAAAACAGGGATTGAATAATGATTTTTTGTGTGTGTCACACTTATCGCCAATGAAACTGAACTGTGTGTGACTGTATGTGTGGTTGGCAGTGTACAGTTGTGCAGGTTGTGCACTGTGCAACTCTGAGCACTTCTTACACTGCGTACCTCTGAATTATTTCTTTCTCCTTCCGCCATGGCATGCATTGCACATTTTGGACAAGTGTAAGTGGCTGTCCATCCTGTGAGTAGTATAGCATAGTCTGTGTGTGTTGAATGTATAGCAGTTTGACATCACAAAAAACACACAAACAAATCAAACCATATACTGGATTCAATCTGGCAATTAAAAAAAATCACTTGTCTCTTCACATCTAGTTGGATATTTTCCAGTTTGATTCTAATTTCACTTCTAGCTTAATTATTTATGGATGTTGATTATACTCAACATTAACTATCAAGGGAAAGATTTCTCAGCCTCAGTTTTATCAGTAATTATCTCTGTTATTGTGAGCCACGTATTTCAAGCTCTTCATGCCTAAATTCCTTCACTCTTTGTTTCTATGATACTGTGGAGTTGGTCTACAAATGCTATGTTGGACAAGTGCCTTCTATGAACACATCTATTTCATGGCAACCATGGACAATTTTTTTGTTTGGTTGGGGTTTTTTTTGTTTTTGTTTTTTTTAAGTTCTAGGCCTTCAAAGAGAACTCTTTAAATGATTTTTTTTTATCATTTCATCCTCTTTTGGTGAGATATTTACACTTAAAATATCATTTACGTCAAATGACAGCATGATGACAGAGCTAATGGTTTACTAAATAGCAAAAAGAGTCCTTCCTGCTAGAATAATTGCTTTTTGATTGTCCCAGTTTAGTCTCAGTTCTCCTATGACACATTCTTGGGTCTTTCTCTTCCTTAACTGACACTCTTCCAACCAAGGTGACTCAATGCTGGTGTCCCCAGTGAGAAAGGAAAGATTTAGATAATCTTAGAGTTGAAAGGCCTTCAAATGTCATTGGGTCAAATACTCCACTAAATAAATGAATCCTTTTCTCAATAGCTTGGACCACACGTCACCCAGCCTTGGTTTGATCACCTCCAGTGAGCAAGGATGATTGTATTTCTGATGCCATATTTGCCTTCGTGGATAGTGCAAATGATTACACAGATCTTCCTTGGAAAGCAACCAGAAACTTCCATCCCACCATGACATCGGTTCTTCCCAAGGGGTATAGGACAGTGTTCACCTGGTAAACACACATACCTCCTTTCAGTCCTAGCCCTGTGGGACCTGGGGCAAGTCTCTTAATTCTTCTGAGCTTCAGTTTCTGCTAACTGTGGATGACAGTTTCTATCTTATTATTGCTTTAACAGGATTAGCACAATGTCTAGCAGCCCGGTGCCCAGGAAGTGGGAGTGGTTATCAACCGAAGCCTGCCTTCAGAAGGTAGTACAGTCAGGGGCCGGCGAGTGTAGTCCGGTAGTCCTTTCATTTCATCCTATAGACAGTATCCCATCATAGTTACAAGGGTGAGCTGTACTGCCAGGCTCTGGAGGCGTAAATATGGACTTGGTATTTACACAAGGGGGTACCTAACTCATAAGGTACAAGGGAGTTTAAAGGGCTTAGAGCAGTGCTTGGCACTAAGGATTTATTGAGCACCTGCTCTGGGCCAGCCTTTCGGGATACATGTATTAATGAAACCAAATCTTAGCCCCTGAGAGACGTATATTCCGGTGGGAAAGACAGACTCAAACAAGAAAAACGTGGTCAATGTTACCACTGAGGGCTGGGGTGTGGATGCCAAGGAGAGCCGAGGAAGCGCACAGCTTAAGCCATGGCACTATCCCTCTCCTCCTATGCCAAGGTCAAGGCAAACCTTGGCAACACCACCTCCCAGACACACGCACAACAGACGTAAAAATCAGCCCTTGTCAGGGAAGAGATAGGGCTGAAGGGAGAGGCAGGGTAGGCGGCGATGGGGAAAAAGTGAAATTTCCTCCCCTCCTACAATAAGCCAACGGGCGCTGAAGGAGGGAGAGCGTTATCCGGGAGGGCTGTCAGAGAGGTGCTGGAGGGCGGGGG